GAACGCTTCAGACTTTGATAATTCTGCCTGTTAAACGTGGCTTTGATAAGCAGACCACCACAAGTTGTTCTCACCTGTTTGGTTCTTTGACGCGTGTTAATTAAAACGGAAAAATGTGTGTGCGGTTGGTCCGGCGCTCACACATCTTCTCAAGGACCTTTTGGTTTAAGCAAACATGTGCAGTCTGAAATCAAAACCTCGGTCAATTAATTATCTCTCACTGAGCGCCCGAGGGGTTGAAAGCACTCGGGGAACAGATCAAATGAACTCCCCCCTCTGGCCAGTCAGTACAGACAGCATGTATACGTGTTGACTACAGTACAGTATTGAAGCACTCTGATAGAGAAGAATCTGAGTCCCTGCACCGCAACGAGCTCTCGTTAGTTTTAACGAGGCAGAAATGGACCCTGAGTGAAGAGAAGGCCGTGAATACAGTAATTGGACTTCAGTATGAATAATTTCCGATAATGTGCAGTTTCAGTCTCTATAATGTTTCTGAGCACTGATCTGTGGCGCTCATTCGTTTGCATCCATGTCAGGGAAGCCAAATTAAACACACACAGTCCACTGGTTCTAATGTCAGTGAAGTTTAGGAAGTTAAAAGAAGGATTCAGACAACTGAATAAGTCTGACTGGAAATTTGACAGATTGACTTTTGCCGTTCGATGAACCTGCTGATAAGTGTTCGTTTTTTATTCTTATAATGAGAAATTGAGATCATGGGTACGAGAGCTGGAAATGAGCTTCCTGCTTTAGAGATGCAGGGTGAGGAGCTCAGAGCGGAGAACATGCTGGAGAGACGATGTCTCCTGGCTAGTTTGGGAATGCCTCGGTCCTGAAAGAGCTGGAGGAGACAGCTGGGAATACCAGATACATGTCCAAGTTTTAAATTCTTCATCTTTACGTCTGATAGAATTCAATCCGACCTTTTTGATCGCCACATCGACTCCAAGTTTTTTAGCATTGTAAGAATATTCTTATTACTTTATTATAGTACCGCAGAAAGTCTGTATCATCGATGGGCGATGACTGCAAATAGCAGTGAATATTTGGCTTCATCACATCGTGTGTAAAATAACACTGAAAAGAAAAATAGAAGTGATGTCGTCGAGTTTTGTGTTTCGTCCGATCAGCAGAATTCAAACATATTCAGTACAGAGTGCTGTGATGTCTTACAAGGCACTGAGTTTATTTTCAATCATACGGGAAGATTGTGATGAGTTTTTAGTCATGAAAGCCAAATGGACAGGACCGCATCAGTGACAACAGATAAACTCTTAAAAAGAAGACGTGGGTTGCAAAGTGGCTTGCAGAGGCAGTAGTGGCTGTATGCAGGCTGAAGCAGCTTATCTTTTAAGTGGACAGGTTCTTATGTAACTCTTTTCTACTCGGCTTGAGCACTCAAAGCATTTTATACAACACGTATCCTTCACCCAGTTTTACATATTTGCACTTTTTTCTACGTCTGGAGTAACTCTGGGTTCAGGAAGCCTGCTCTACATGCGATGCTCTATATGACAAAGTGCATCATCTGATCCGTCAGGGAGTCAGTGTTGACAGAAGATAGTTTTAGCAGGTTTTGTTTGAATCCTCTGAGTCCTGACTGCGTTGTTGTTTCCAGGATGGCCTCAGTAAGTCGGACATGGAGAAGCTCACCTTCTACGCTGTGTCGGCTCCAGAGAAACTGGACAGGATTGGAGCTTACCTGGCCGAGAAGCTGAGCAGAGATGTGGTGCGACACCGCTACGGGTGAGTGGCGTTTGACTTGTTAAGTCCCAAGCACCAGATAAACGCGTTTTATCCCGGAAAACCCTTCATCACCTCAAACAGCAAATGCTGTTAGCTCCAAATCATGATGCAGATTCACTTCAGTGAGACAGCAGGAGGAGGATAAGCTGCACAGTTCCTATGAAACAGTGAGCTGCAAATGAATTTGCCAAAAAAATACTGGAAATCTGGAAATGACAAGAGAAAAAAGTCTGAGGGAAAAATACCTGAGAATGTAGCGCGACGTAGCAAAGACGAGTAAGGATGCTGGAAAACAGGATGAAAGCAGTCGCAGTCAGCCCGAGGTTCAGAGATACTAGGTGACATTTAAAAACAGAACGTGAAGGAGACTGTCCAGCCACCTGTCATTAAAACTCATCAGAAGAAGTGCAGTGACATTAAAAGTCTCGTCCACTTCCATTTCTGCTCTGGAAAGTAATTAAAATGAGCTGAGAGACGGAACAAAGAAGCTCCCTGAAGTATTTCAGAAGAAGACTGTCAGCACTGAATCAATACAACCATTATAATGTCAGACTTTCTGTCTGAATCGGCTCTGATGTTGTTTCCCTGAGGCTGACGGTCAGAGAGCAGACGCATCTACCTTCTGCACGGCATCCACGCATCCTTACCAGACCGCTGTTCACCCAGCAAGGCGACATGTAGGGGTGGGCGATAGAAACGATATAAATTTGGCCAACGATAGAGATTTTGACTATACCGATCTATCGCGATAGCGCATGTTGGTGATGTCATCAAGCTGCGCCTGTTTTGGTCGAAAGCATCGCAGCGGCTA